AGGTTTTCAGGAAGTAAAATTATAATTGAACATAAAATTAACAATGAACCTATAACACCAAATAATGCCAGTGATATGCTAATATTGTCACTGCTGCTTATGATGAAGGGTTTATAGCTACCGTCGTGTCTTACAAATAAGAATATGTATCCAGTTAACCATTGTAAACAAGTGAAGTTTAGTATTTAGCTTTGCTATTCTGGAAATGCTGACAGGAGAAATATCCATCTTAAATACATAAATGTACTTCAAGTGGTTGATGCCTACACCTAATTTGAAAATTGGCGACGTAGTGATCATCAAGGACTATCACATTTCTAAATTCATTTTTTACATGAGAAAGATAGTCAAGGAGATGCATAAAAGAAACGAGCTAGCGCATAGACAATTATGGGTGAAAACTAGACACAACATGTTTGAACATTCTTATGATAATCTTAGCATATTATTATAGACAGAGTACTGATGGCTGATGTAACAATCACAGTCTATTGTGATGTCCGCTATGTCTGTCATTTATTATCAACCTTTGCTAAACCTTTGGTTAATTCAATCCAAAGTTTCTTAATATCAAGTAAAATAACAAAGTTATCAAACATAAGAAAATCTGCTGTGGTGGATAGTGACAAGATAATTGTTGGTGTTCAAATTTGGCGACTAGGGCTTGGCGATTATTTATCTTAAACTTAATTCCTTCTGATACTAGTAGTTTTTTAGCTATTCCTAGGTCTGTTGTCTACAAATGGTTCAATAAATGGTGACAAATTCTTGAAATTTACAAATTTTGGGAACTAATATTGGCACACTTTTGTCCTTATATGACTTACTGTTGAGTTGTATGTATGTATTATTATCTAGGCCCCAAGCCAATACAATTTACATCCAGCATAAAATATACCACAGTAAGCACGTAACGTATATTATTATTGGTTCAAGGCTTCTTTCTTAAGTTTGAATCATAGAATAAATAAATTATGAGAGTTGTTACTGGGAAAAAGTTGAGTGAGAGATTGCAAGTTATAGTTTAGTGTTGCCCGGAAAGGCAGTAAGGCAGCCTCTTAATGGTTGATACAAATGCCACTAACAATGAAATGATATTATCTGAATGACATTCTTCTCACAATCGCTCTAAATTATGTTTATGATCAACTGCTAGACTTAAACAACGTAGCCGTAACGTTCAATGTTAGGGGATTGCTTCACAGTACAAAACAAATGTAACTACCCATACTGGAGCATTATGTCCGCCATTAACTCATACAATGGAAGGTACTAAGGTAAGTCCGTTAGTACCTTCCATGCTCATACCATGTGTCTTTGGCAGAACACAGAAAGAACATCGCGAACCCCTTGTTTGAGCCAGGCATAACCAAACCAGTATCTATTATGGATATTTCACACTTGTGTTTCCAAATGTGTTTCCCTTACACTCGTCATCCCTGACCAACAAGATATACGTATATACATGTTTTACAATCTTTGTATAATAATTTGACATTGTTTATAATTTCAACCACCATTTAAAAATAAGGGATAAGGGCCTGGTCAAGTTAACCGATAACATTTGGATTGTTATCATTAACATCTAAATGCCATTCACAGTAGCTGTAATGCACATTTGCAATGCAGTCATACGTACACGTCTTATAGCCCCCATAGCTCCGATCTGTAAATTAATATTAGTCGTTCGTACTGTGAGAAAAATATTAACATATAGGTAGCACGAAAGTTCTTTATATGCCTAGTATAACGGTTGATGATAACCATCGCCCTTTTTCTTAATCGGTCAGCTTTGCATTGCTTTGAATCAAAAGTTTCAACTTAATTAAAAAACAATGCCCACGTATTTTTAATAAGTACCAATCTCGATTTTATGACCCTTGTACAGTAATTTCTCTGAACTTCTCAATTTTCCACCATTTTTTAATATATTATTTTTTTGACCTCCACTTGACAGTGACTAAACTAAGAACTATTATCAACCTCTGTCATCCATAAATAGTGTCCGTAAAACGTACGTCATATACATAAAGTGAACGAAATAAGTCAAACAATTGCTGTGTAATTTTTAGTTCCCTAATGAGCATAGCAAAAACAAACTCAATTTGCAGCCCTGACGCACACCCACCAGACAGATAATTGATCGGTGTTGTAGGACGAACTCCCACACCAGATTTAACCATGGCATACATACTTTAATAATTTTATTCCAGACGTAGAATCGACATCGAAAAAAGGTTATGATTCACACGTAGTATCACATTTTTTGGCAAAATCAACTAAATTAAATAAGCAACAAAACTGTATTATTTCTTGCTCACATGTCCTGTATTATTACTTGTAAAGTAAAAATGATATGGTGCTTTGCAACTTTTAAGTTTGTGAATTTAATATCATTACAAATTATTGTCATAATTACCGTTTAAATTTGGCTGAGTGACTAAATTATGCTAAGTAGTAGGATGAAATAGATTTTGAAATATTCAAATCACTGTGATGTCGAAACTGTTATAATCTGAATGCCTTATTATCATAATGTTTTATTATCGCTACCCCGTCAACATTTCATGTTTTAATTCTTCTTAGTACGCACATTTTTGCAAATGTTCTTAAATACATTTTAGCTTTCTCTATAATTAAGTAAATCGGATTATCTATTTAACCGGAATTTGAGAAATTAATTACACTATCAAACCATGGATGATGGGACTTATTTGTACTTGTATTAGATGATTTTATTTTAAACAGATTTACATTTCCGCTAAAATTTCTCAAATAAGTTCAATGCATGATTAATTTCAGATCTATATAGTGCATTTCTTACATTTACCCATCTATCTGTAAATATTATTGTGTTTATAAAAGTCTTCATACTTTTCACTCTCTATTTGAACTTTTTACTTCCTTGGAAACCGTTATTAGAATTAGTCATATTAACAAATTGGCATTCACGACTTAAATGGACATCAGCTACAATAAGTAAATAAACTGAAAAGTCATTATCAACTTTTGATCAGGATTTGCATTTTATGATGTACAATCGATAGAGGGCTTCAAAACACACAATTTGAGTGATAAATAGTTATGATTCTATACAAAGTTATTCCCAATAGCGTTTCTTCAACTACACCTAATATCTGCTTCTAAATTTTCAGGATGAAATGACAGAAAGTTACTCGATATAAAAGGCTATTGTCTCATTCTATCGCCTACACGCATAGAGCTATCAAGGAGCTTTTGTACCGTCTGTGTGTTACCTCAAATTTGCGATCAAAATTGATGTGTGTTTCTTTTGCCTAAATATTTGACGGGCAAAATGATCTGCTTTCACTATTTAGTTGGTGATACACTCCAATATTACATTGCAATTTACCAATGTACTCACCTAATCTTTATACGACTGTGACTTTTGCAAGCAATGTATTTGCGTAAGTTTTGTATGAGTGAACAAGACATTGAAAATGACACAGTCCGAGTTAAGTTAGTATAGTTTTTTTCGTTACACAAAACATAAGAAAGCTTAGAAAGAACCCCCGTGTGCTGAGAGTATTGGAGACACATTAAAAATGAATTCAGAATTACGGTATGATTTGTACTTGAGATATTGATGGAAAAGCTGAGAACTGACTAATTAATATGCAAACATTTGAGTGTAAAACTAATAAGGTCTGGGCAACTTCACATACCATCTATGTACCAAGTTTAATTGAAATGTGTTTAGAACCAAAAAATTATATATTATTATTATTAGGGAATTAATATTAACAGATTTTAACCCAAAACTGAGCAGGTCTGTGCATTGTCCTAGAGCATCCATCTACCAAGTTTCATTGAAATGGAATGATTAGTACTCGAGATATTAGTGGAAAAACCGAAAATTGACAAATCTTTATGCGAATTAGATAATTAATATGCCCAGATTTTAACCCCAATCTAAGGAGATCTTTGCATTGTCCTAGAGCATCTATGTACCAAGTTTTATTGAAATGTGATGATTAGTACTTGAGATATCAGTGGAAAAGCCGAAAATTGAATAATTATTATGCAAATTAGGTAATTAATATGCATGAACAGACACTCACATATACAGACAGACTAACTGCAAGACTCTCATTGCGTGCTTCACACACAGGAGTAAAAAATGTGATGTGAAAACTGAAGGTTGAGTAGTCACCATTGCTTTGAATTCTGTCACAAGGTGGGAACTATTATGGGGAATGAGATATAAAATCATCAGAGAGGGGTTTAACCTCTCAAAATGGCAACAAATTTCACCCAGGGCCCATAATCCTTGAGGTTTGCTTGACAAAACTGGATTTCAATAGATGGCGCCCTCTTGAGACATGGACGCAAACCCACAGACATCTTTTTTCACTTGCAAGTGATTTAATGTACAACGTCTATATATATCATATATGCTATGTTTTCAGTGTCCACATTTTGGCAATGACCATTAAAAATTGACACTAATGACACAGAAAACATTTTATTAAAACTAATAATCAAAGAAACAGATTTATAGGTATTCCCGCTTTAATACAATAGTGGATTTATAGTAGTAATTACAGTCCATGCTAGTAGTACAACTACAGATACATGACATATTTGTCTTCATTATGACCAACAGACGTATGACAGACATAATACAAACTGGAGCATTCGTTAAAACGAAATGGCCACCATTTGGCGATTTTGAAACTAATCGTAGGAAATTAAGGTTCAATTATGTTCAATGTATGTGCCAAATTAAATTTGAATAAAATATGTTCATGCACAAACTTCAAAATGGCAGAAATGTTTGCTTTTCATGTATTTTTAGCACTAAAATGTCATCACTCAGCCATTTTTGAATTGGATCACAAAATAAATGCAGGTCCACATGTACCGGTATGATATGATATGATATGTGACAGGTGCACACGCACATGTACACGCACAAATATAGGGAGGGGAAATTATTGAGTGAGTCAAAGTACAAAATAAACATTTTTTCCCTGGATTTTAAATTTATTATTCTGACAAAGTTTTAAATTCACTAATACGATTGTACAACAATAAAGTATTTTTGTGTTTTTACATGGTTTAATTTTGCGAATTTCACTGATAATTCGAGAGAGGGAAATCAAGTGAATAAATAATAATATGTATGTATGAAAGAAAAATCTCAAGTTGAATATTCCAAAATAAAACAGATGTGAAAATAATTTTTTGTCCAGCCTGACTAGGCAGTTTCGAGTTATGCATAAGGTCTATTCAATTCAGTCTGATTTTGTTAAAACTGATATTCGAGACAAAAAAATAAACCTTGTAGTCGACATTGTATTAAACACTTGTAAGCTTAACTAGTATGAATGTTGGTAAATGTTCAGCCAGTAAGGACAGCGCCCTCATGTGTTGGTCTTCATTAGTTATCGGCCTGATCAGCAATTGGATTTGCATGGATTGTTATATTACGCATCCGAACATCATTCAAAGGTTTATAGTTCTTCTCGCTTACTGGAAGCTTCTCCAGATCGTCTAATGTTTCAAATCCATCAATGACTCTAAGGATGAAAATATATAAAGATATGTTACTAAAATCCGACCACAGGTCAATTTCTTACAACAGGATTCATCTTCATCTAATACTTTTGGCATATCAATCAATCAATCAATCAATCAATCAATCAATCAATCAAATAGTTTACTAACACGAACTAAACCATTGTGTGCATCTAGTTTGTAACACAGCTTATTGGCTATGTATTTTGAACAAGATTAAAATGTATCAGATAAAGCCAGAGATTGTCTGCTTAGAAAAGACATCACAACATGCATGAGCTACAAAAATGCACATGCAGAGAATATGAATGTTAATCACTAATGTGAGTTCTATATTTTACTACATTTTCAGAAAAATTACTATTCAATGCTGGATAAAGCAAATTTTGCTCCATTAGAAGCACATTTCCAGTATTTGTATACGATACCATTAAAAAATGACTTGTTATCCCCATAGAAACACACCTGGAATGTCCATAAGCACATGTGCTACTAATAAAGAAAATGTGGTATGGTAGTTGTTTGGGTAAAATATTAATTATACAATGCAATATAGCTAAGAGTATACAACCTTTAACATTTAAATTCAACTCACTTTCCAAATATGGTGTATTTCATATCTAGATGAGGCTGTTTTGCGTACGTGATGAAAAACTGCGAGGCATTGGTGTCTGGGCCACTGTTTGCCATGGAAACTACTCCTCTCACATTGTGCTATAAAAAGATTAAGAAAAATACAATATTATGTCTCAAAACCGTAACCTTGTTATTACAGTAATCAATGAAGAAATCAGATAAAAAAAGTTTACTAGTATTGCCTTGTTTTGGCGGTTACTTACCTTCAATGAATCCACAATTTCATCTTCAAATTTTTTTCCCCAGATACTTTGTCCACCTTTACCAGTGCCCATAGGATCACCAGTTTGCACCATAAATCCAGCAATATTTCTAGAATGAAAGAGTAATGTGAAATGTACCATGCCAAAATTTCTGAAGTAAAAGCAACACAGGATATCTAGGTTTCTACTGCAACTGAGAAAGACTAAAAATACAGATACTTTAACAATATATATGACATCAATTTTACTCACAGGGAGCCCAGGAACTATAATCAACTGTAATACGCAGTCTCTATGAGCGGGGGTGGGGGGTGGGGGGGTGG